CCAACTGACGGACTGGATGTTACAGCAATTAAAAATTAATTTTGACTATGCATCAGAAGATTTTTGGATAAAGTCTCATGATCAACTTTTTGATATTCTAAATACCAGTTCCAGTCTGAAGGAGGTCTTACATCATGGCCTGCCAACAGGCGCCCTCTGGCCAGTAGTCAGCCATAGGATGCTTCAGACAGTTCTGACGATGGTCAGGCCTCCTTTGTCACTGGAAGCACCACAATCTGCTCATACAGGGTCACTTCATGATAAGAGGGAGGAACAAATGCCTGAATATGACCCACTCACCTGTAAAGAGGGTACTCAGAAAGAAGAGCAGACAACTGAGGCAGCGCTCCTCTGTGAAGGGGGTCCTCAGAAGAAGGTGCAGTTACCCGAGGATGGGCTATCGCAGTGCTCCTCTGTGAAGGAAATATTTCAGATCCCCTGAAGGGGGGACAGATACAAGGAAACGAACAGATTATGATTCCTAAGGGGATAGTAATGCTCAATGAGGGAGATGAGGAGCATTCGGAGATCATTGACCTCTCAGGTGATATTATTTCCCAGGAATCCCACAACACTCTGTCCCAGATACCTCGAGGGGATGAAATAATACTGTATCAACACAAAGAAGAAGAGACCAATGGGTCCTTGCAGCAAGAGAATGATCAGACAATCATTCCTATTGAGGAAAAGAAAAAGAGGACTTCGCAGCAAAGAATGGTCTCCTTAAAATCGACAGATGCACAAAGTCAAATTGAGGGTTTGGTTTCCTTTCCAGTTYCGGTAACACAAGAAATRRRARAAAGACAAAAACTAAGGAATATGCTGGAACGGGGACAGGCGGTTAAACCGCCAAACCTAAAAGGGAATCTAGTGATACCTGTGAGAAAGAGGAATGGGAAGTGGGAGCTTGGTCTCTCCCCGATAGGACAAGACCAGTATGGGGGCGTCACGTTAAGAAGATGGACAACACATACAGAGTATCAGACAGCGAACGACCGAATGTTCAAAAGAGATTTACAAGATTTCTTATCCAAACACTATGACCCGGGTCCACAGGCCATTCTCATGGAAGTTGGGGACAAAGCTCTGATGACTAAGAGAGATGTCTTTGTCCGCTTTGAGAAACACAAGGAAGCAGGCCTTAAGTGGTATTCTCATACTGCCCTCTTGGATCTGCAATGCCTTAAGGTCAAGGCCAATTCTGTGTGGTCGGTAGCTGATGTGGCATCCTTTTGCTGTTCCATTCTTAGAAGAGGAATTCTCCTCTCCTCTTTCGATTTTGACAAGGGAGCTTGGAATAGACTATAGAAAGAAGGAAAGTTAAATTTTTGATATTTTGATAAATATTTGATCATATCACTTATGGAGGCTCTTCATGCTTTTTATGGTAGAAATCCAGCATGACACCGTGCTACACAGGCAGCAGATCTGGATATCAGATCGCTCAATATAAACGGACTAGCCACGACTGATGGGGAAAAGAGAAGAGCCTTGATGGAACAACTGAAAGGAGTAGGGGGACATATGTGGCCAGACCTTATTTGTATCCAAGAGACGCATCTTACGAAAACTCCTATTCATGTGAGAGCCCATAATTTGGTTTGGCCATATACTAAGTACTACTCACCATCTCAACGCAGTGGTTCGGGGGGAGTGGCCATTTGGGTTCCGCCGGAATCAAGAGTGGAAATCATACAATGGTCAGATGATAAAAGTCATGGTAGATGGGTGTCTGCGTTAATCATGGTAGAACTAGAAGTCATATGTGTAATAAATGTGTATGGACCAAATGATTTTCAAGAAAGAGTGAATTTCTTCCAGGAAATTAGATCTCAGATGCCAGCAGATATTCCGATTATCATGGCAGGAGATTTCAATGCTGCTCCGAACAGATGGTTAGATCGTTGGAAAATACCTGATCCATGTCCGCCATATGTAGAAATAGATGAAATAATAATTAACTCCCTATGTGAAAATCAGCGATTATTTGATACCCGTAGAAGGATTTTTCCACAGGAGAAATTATTTACTTGTATTAGAAATAGTGGAACCCCATCTCAAACGCGCTCCAGAATTGATCTGATACTGATGTCTGATGATGTAGACAGATCCTTACTGTGAGCGGCAATATTCCCACAAAGCCCTTGGCCGGGGGCCGATCATAAGATGTGTGTGGCTCTCCTGTCTTTTTCAAAAAAGATAGACCAAGGGCGAGGCTTTTACAAACTAAACTCTTCTTTACTTAAACAGGGTCAATTTAAGCATTACATTAGAGATGTGTGGGCCTTTTGACATTCGACTAAAGATAGGCATGATTCTTATGAGGAATGGTTTAATAATGGCTTAGCCTTTTTATCTAAGAAATGTAATGAGTTTTCGAAAATACAAGCCAAAAACAGATATCAACAAGAAATAAATATCCAAGAACAAATTCTAAATTACGAATTATCGCATCATTCTGATGATGACCCTCCTCTTACTGATATTCAGGACCTCAAAAAACAATTACTTTCATTTGCTCAACATCGTTGGCAAGGTCATTTGATTAGAGGCAAACTAACTAAGTTTGTGACAGAAGGACAGATGGATGCTACTTTCTTTGCTCTCGCTCGTACACGATCGAGACGCTCCTTAATAAATGGACTTACAGATCCAAGTAGTACGGATCAACTTCTATCCTCATCCTCAGCAGGCAGTCTAAAAATAGCATATGATTTCTACAAAAATCTCTTCTCATCTTCCAAGGAACCTGAGGAAACAAAGGAAGATGATTTAGCAATAAACAGTTTTCTTCAGCCCATGACACAAACACTCTCCCAGAAACAAAAAGATTTATTAGAAAGACCAATGAAAAAAGAGGAAATTTGGGCAGCATTTCCTACAGATGGAGGAAGGGAAAACCCCAGGAATTGATGGTTTGCCAAAAGAATTTTGGGAAATCATGTGGCCAACTTTTGCCTCTGATCTAATGGAATTCCTTAACTCAATCCAGGAATCTGAAAAAATGGGGGAATTTGTGGGACAAGGAATCCTTACACTCATCCATAAAAAGGGGGATAAGACAAACATTAGAAACTACAGACCGATTACTCTAGTTAGTGTGGTCTATAAAATGTTAGCTAAAACTTTGGCTAATCGTCTGATCCCTGTGATGGCGGACATTATTCATCCCTCTCAAACAGGATTTATCAATGGGAGACATATTCAAGACAACATATTACTCATTAATGAATTAATTAAACCATCAAGACAATCAAAGAATAACGTTGCCTTTATTTTTATCGATTTTGAGAAAGCTTATGATCATGTGGATTGGAGATTTTTAGATGCTTACTTAGTTAAAATGAGTTTTGGACAAAACTTAAGGAAATGGGTACGTATCCTACATATGAATGCAACCACACGCATTCTTATAAATTTGTTTCTTTCCCCGGAAATCAAACTACAACGGTCAGTCAGACAAGGAGATCCATTAGCACCCTTCTTGTTCTTAATCATCATGGAAGCACTAGGGGCCAATTTGAGGGCAAATAGAAATATAAAAAAATTGAGTATCTATGGAATCCCTGAGGAAGCCATCCCAATCTCTTCAATGTTTGCTGACGATCTTACTGTTATCATGGATGCGACACAAGATAATATGGTTGAAATTCAAGCGCTAATGAACAGGTTCGCACAAGTCTCAAACATGGTTGTTAACTGGGGCTATAAAACCCAGGGTTGGTGGATCCACTCTGCAGGAGATAGGCCACTGGAACAACCAAGAGTGAAATGGCTACCTTTAGAAGCACCAGTGCGTGTATTGGGGGTCTCCCTAACTGCAGTCGGGAAACCCACCACTCATAATGAGTGGGTAACTAAACCAGCTATTGACAAGATGAATTTATGGAAAGATAAACATACTTCAGTATTTGGGAGAGCTCTTATTATTAACAATGTCATATTGGCTTCTATATGGTATAAAACGGAGTTGTGGTCGTTGAGTAAAATAAGCACTAAAGTGTTGCAGAGGCAGATCACAACCTTTCTGTGGAGAGGTAATCATGATTTGGACAAGGTTATCCTTAGAGTGGCTTGGAGATATCTGTGCCAACCCAAATCCAGAGGGGGCCTAGGGATTCTAGGCCCCCTCTGTCGCAGGCTTTAGCTTTACAATGGATAAAAAAGTTAATCTTGTCTACTGATTTACCATGGCAACCAATGGCCTTAGAACAAATTAGAAGATTAGCACCCCAGGCAAGTGAAGATACTCATCCTCTTTCCTGGATTGAAGATCGATTTTGGACTATCCCTAGAGTGTTAATGGGAATAAGAGATTCAGGGGATAGAGAGGAGGCCAGAAGGGATCTAGTTTTGGATAATTTCTGGGCAAATCTTTTAAAAATTTGGAGGCAGCTTCCATTGCCAGATAAACCCTTTCCCAATAGGTACGAAGAAATCCTTCACCAACCCTTGTTTGAAAATCGTTGGATCACTGACATGAATGGTTGTATCCTTAATGCTTCTAAACCTCCATGGAGTCAATGGATTAAAAAAGGCATTACACGGATTAAGGACATATGGGATCCCTGTATAAAAGATTGGAAGTCAGGTGATCAAATTAAATCGACACTAAGGTATGTTCATCACCTAAATACAAACCTGGAGCAGATGATTTTTTCCATTCCTCTAGCATGGGTTTCCACCCTCAGGAAAGGTCCTAAGATCAAGGAGGGGGATTGGGTGGTGGGAGTTCAAAATAATAGAGAAAAGGTAGTGGGGCAGGTAGTCCTTAAATCCCAGCAAGATGCCTCAGTCAGTATCTGCAGAACTAACAGACATCATTTCCTGATTCATACGAGGGATGATCCGGTAGTATTGTTTCCCTTAACACATATGTATCGGGTTAGGGTTCTATTTATTCCATCAGTTCAGAAATGGAAGGTTTTCCACCCAGAAATTCCCATCCCAGATTTACCGTTGGACCCTGAGGAATGGGTATGGAATACCTCGAAAAAAGGTCACTCTAGATCCTTGCAAAATCTTACGGTTAAAGCGACATATCGATTACTTAGACAAAAAATTCATATTTCAGCAATCATTCGGGAAAGATGGGCTACGCATCTGAATCAGGACATAAATTCGATCAAAAAAATTAAAATTTTCAATAAAATTAAACAGAGGCCAGCAAAATTCACGTCTTTCCAATGACAAATAGCACACCGATGCCTACCCACCAATGATTGGATTATAGACCGAACTTCATTAGAACAAAAGGGTCTAGCTCTCCCTTGGTGCAAATCTTGTGTAACAAATTTTCCTAGTAAAAAATGCAGGGAAACAATAGAACATATTTTCATGCAATGCCCTGGGTCGGTTTTACTGTGGAGAAGATGGGATTATATATGGAGAAAGTACACGGGTCTAGATTGGCCATGGGATTGGAAAGCAATCCTACTAGGGCATTGGTTACCACAACATATCTCCCTATCTCCCTTTCAATCGAAATTTTTTGAAGTAGGGAGAAAAACAATCATCTGGGTCCTTTGGTATAGACGCTGTGTGTTAGAAAGAGAAAACGTTAGGTTCGAAGGATCTGAACTGACCGAATACATAATTCAGTTCGTTCAGACAGAAATCAGAAATTAATGGGAAAAATTGGCTACTAAATTATATAGACTTCAAAGGAAAAAAAATATTATTGGTCTAATCAAAGAATTTGAAAAGGACTGGCTGGGCAATGAAGAGGATAGGAGCCTGGGTGAAGTGAAATGGCCAGAGAAGGAGAGACCGGAATCTCTTTTTTAAAAGAGATTTCCAACTTTTTTTCCACAATTGGTTTTCAATTCAATCAGACACCTCACTCAGAGATCCTATGTTTTTTGCTGATCCCTTCCCACCTTCCCAATTATCACTAATAGAAATGATCTGATGATAGAGTGTCACTAGGTGAAAGTTCCTGGCTCCTGAGGCAGCAGGCCTCCTCATTCGGATGAGGGACATTCACTAGGGGGAGTTTTTACAAAAAAAAAAAAAAAAAAAAAAAAAGGTCCCAGGCTAGCGGAATCTATTCCTCACCCACCCACCCAGCCCAATTTTATGGCACAAGAACCTCAACGCTAGCTTGAGAGG